CCCGGGGAGCAGCGAGCGAGCTGCTCGCCCCCCTCGGCGGCGAGCCCGGGTGGTGAGAGGGCTCCGGGGGACGGTGGCCGTCCCCGCACGGAGGGGTCCCAGCTCTTGCGTGTGGCTTTAATCGAAACCAGGACCTTGGACCGAATTTAAAGCTGCCCTGGAATACCTGTGTGTAAAGTGACACGGGGCTTTGTTGTTGTTGTTGGGTTTTGTTTGTTTGTTTGTTTTTTGTTGTTGCTAGCACTCGAAGACAGTTTGGGGGTTTGGTTGTTTTTTGTTTGTGGTGTGGTTTCTCCCCCCTCCCCGTTCAACTTCTTTAAAAGACTTGAGAAGGGAATGAGTTCACTAGCATAAGCCTGCTCGGCTTTATCTTAATCGAAATGGTTTTGTAGCCGAGGTTTTAAGGAAGGAGAAAGACGTATTGACTCAATTTACAGTAATTTAGGATTTTTTTCTCTTTTGTTTTTAAACAAATTTGTGCTTAAAAAAAAATCAGTGGAAGTTTCCTCTGAAGACTTCAAACAAATACCTAACTGAGGAAAAGCAGAAGTGTTTGTCAGAGCGCTGATTGCTGCGTTTAGCTCATGGGAGAATAATTTCGCTGTCAGATGCACCACTGAAAAATCTTTCCCCCTCCGGGGAGCGGGGCCGACCTCGGCTCTTTAACCCTTTCCGATCGGTGTTGTGAGCCAGCAGCACACCACCGGGGGTTAACTGGGTGGATTCGCAAGGGGATGGAAAAGCTGGATCTGTGCTTTGCTCCTTGCAAAGCCTTTGTTGTCCCTATTCACCTAAAGGCTGAAGCCATTAACAAGCAGTGTTTTACTTTCAGTTCTCTTCTGGGCTGCATCCCTCTCTCTGTCGTACTGTCTGTTACGAATTTGTTGGGATTAAATTCCAAAGGCGGTTTCTTAAATCCGCGTATGCGAGGTGGAAGATGAACCCCAGCAGGAGCTGGGAGGCTTCTCCCTGCCCCAGCTCGGAAGGAGTTTTTGGCAGTAGCTGAAGGATGCTACTTTGGAGCCTGTAGCTGTATTGAGCTTTTTATAAGTATGGATTTGCTAACTTGCAGTATGCTGCTTCAGAGATTGTGTTCTTTGTGCGTTTTCAAAAAAGTGTTCTTAGTTGTGTTCGGCAGCTCTTTGAAATTTAGTATGGCAGGATACAGCTACCCAGGAATAGTTGTGGGGACCTTTCGGTTGCAGTCGAGCCCCGTGCTGCAGAAAGATGTTGGGGACAGGGGTCAGTGGTGTGAGCATTTAACGCAAAACGAAGTCCTGTCTCCTGGTCTTTTTTTGTAGAAAGGAAATTCACTTGTCACTTCCTATTTATTTTTCCCTTTTATAAAATACCTGCTTTCTCTCCTCCTCCCGCAGGTCCCATTTCCTTAACGAAAAACAGTGCTCTGAGTCTCCCCTGCCAAAAGGATGGATTAATTGGAGTGGTCATAAACCCCAATGAAGTATTTTGTTCTGTTCCGGGGAGACTTTCCCTCCTGAGCTCCACGTCGAAATACAAAGTGACAGTAGCAGAGGTGCAGAGACGGCTCTCGCCCCCCGAGTGTCTCAATGCCTCTTTGCTAGGAGGAGTGCTCAGAAGGTAGGCTGCGACTCCCCTTACAACCATCCCCATCGTGTCTATTGTTTGTGATTTTTTCTTTTTTTTCCTATGCTTATGTGTGTGTGAGCAGCCAGATTAGCACAACGGGGAGCTAAGAAAGCCTTTTAGCAAATTTCTGATTTTTAAGAAGCCCAACAACACTGAATCCTAATAGGCTTTGGAAATAAAACTTCTTTGCACTTCTGCTACTTCTCAAGAAGTGCTATTAACAGCTCTAACAGCAATTCTCATTCTCTGTTTAAAGTTGGATTTTTGTCTCAAAAATGGCTCATGGCGCTTTCTTATTCCTGTGATAAACTGTTTCCCCATGGAATGATTTTTGGATTAGATCTCGTGGTCTTGATTAATCATTACAAGGACACTTTATGTCCTTTTTTGCATACACTTAATTCAGCTTGTGATCATTCCACAGCTGTTGGTTTCGATGGTGCAGTTTGAAACATTTTGATTTTGACCTCTGCTGTGTTTCATCCTGGCTGGTTTGTAGTAGAGCATTTAAAAAGTAGGTCACTTGAAAAGAGCCTGTTCTTTATCTTCCCCCCGGTAGAACCCTATTGAATGTCAGTAACTGGAATTTCTCATCTTTAAAAAGAAGTGTTCCCTGAAGATAAATAAGGCCATTTTTTTCCTCTTTAATTACAGAGCCAAATCTAAAAATGGTGGCAGATCATTAAGGGAAAAACTGGATAAAATTGGCTTGAATCTTCCTGCTGGTAGAAGGAAAGCTGCAAATGTGACACTATTGACATCTTTGGTGGAAGGTCAGTCTTGAACGTGTCTTAAAAATAAACTTTTTTTTCCCCCTGTGTACAGCTTTTATCCTCTAGACAAAGCATGGAAAGGCTAGAAAGTCAATGAACGTAAGAGTTTTTTGTTTATTTTGAAGTGAGCATGATGGGAACATTGCAGCAACTAATAGCTGTGTTGCCTTTGGGGGGCTCCTCTCCTCTTCTCCTCCCTTCAAATCTGGTCTCTAAGGCCTTGGCCTCAGAGCCCTACCCCCACAAACCCAGCTAATACTCCTCTTCCTCACGGCTGCATTGCAAGGATGCTAGCAGGGATGCAGTAACTCCTATATGCCGAGCTGTTCAAAATGCGTGTTTGTCCAGGCTGTGTTTCTTGAGGGGACTGGGTTGTTTCGGATTTTGTAAGGATGTGTGCAGGGACAGGCAGGGAAGGCAAAAAGGGGTGAAACTCATCACGTTAGTGGGTTTGGTTCTCTATTGGGAAACTTAAAAAGTCCGGGGCAGCTGACTCCAATGCCTGGCCCTACCTCAGCGGTATCCTCAGAAGCTTTTCTAATAAACAAGCATATAAAGTGAGATTTATAGCTTTTGACTTCCTGATAGGAAACTGGAGCCCCTTTAATCTGTAACATGTTATGTGGACCCTCTATCAGTTAAGCTGACTTGAAGGGTGTATATATGTATGTGTGTGGTTATGTTTTGTGTTTCTGTTTAAAGCAGCTCCTGGTAGTGGTACAATTTAATAGGAATAGAAGCAGCAATTGAAAAGTGAAAAATGATTGTAACAATACCTTGCTGCTATTTCACTTCTACATCAGCTCAAATAATATAGCAACTTCCATTTAAAACCTTTCTTTGGAAGTTGGATTTAAGATGTGCGTACATGCACACATGTACATTACAGGTAACGCACTGATCATGCCAATCAATTTTTTTAAGCCTGATCAAATTGACTTAATGAAAAGAAGTGGCCTAGTTATACACCTTACAATTTTATTTTCTATATGAAAATGCTTATTAGAAAGTATTTAGAAAATATACTAAACTGACAAACCCTTTATTATGTAAGTGGAATTTAGTTGCCAGGTTTTTAAAATATCAGTGGACAATTTGACCTAGACTGAATTCTAGTCTTTGCTGCACAGTTCATCTGGATAGAGATAGTTTTTCTTCCCAGGATAAAGACAAAAGAACTATTTTTTTGTAGCAGTGACCATGTAGGTTTTTTTTTCCTTGATGCAAACTTACAAAGAAACACTGATCTATTAATTAGAAAATGGTAATGAGTGGTATGGTGGTAAAATAGCAGTGTCCTTTTCTAAAAACAGGAATACACTTCAAAAATTCACAGTACTTTGCTTAATTTCCCTGATCTCCTTATGATAAATAGATGTAACTACATTTAATAAGCATTCCCTTTTACCCACGCCAGGTGAAGCTGTACATCTTGCTCGTGACTTTGGTTACGTTTGTGAGACAGAGTTCCCTTCCAAAGCAGTGGCCGAATATTTAACTAGACCACACATGGGCCGCAATGAAATGGCAAACAGGAAGAATATGCTTCTTGCTGCAAAGTAAGTTTTGGGCTTGGATTTCCTGCCCTCCCCCCCTCCCCCCCCCCCGGCTCCTGTGCTGCCCTTCACTCCCCCCCTTCCCCCCCCCGTGACTGTGGACAGTCTGGTACGTTTTCATGTGTAATTTTAATCAGGGAGATGAAGCAATTCTTTTTATTTGGTTTTGGTTTGAATTCAACTATGGCAGCAGTTATTTTAGTCTAAACCAATAATAATAATAATAATAACACTGTACAATAACTCTAAAGCAGTTTGGACCAGTTCTGATTTTTTTTCTTTTAACTGTAGTAAAAACTTCAGAAAAAGTCCTATATCGGGACAGATGTATCTCTAAGAAAAAGATGTCCCTAGATATGACAGGTTTGAGGACCTGGAGGGCAGGTGTGGCCCAGGAACGCGAACCAGTGTCGGGACTGGGAGCAGGAGATGGTTCACCCACCTCTGCGTACGTGCAGCCCAGAGGGGCATCTCGAAGGAGAGTTAAAGATTTTTATAGTTCAGTGAAAGCCAAATTCCTATTGGCAAGCTTGATGAACAGGGAAGGAAGGGTAGAGGAGAGAAGCTTTGTAAGGCTGTTCTGCAGACACTTGTACCTGTAAATAAACCATATACTGAACAGGTCTCTGGTAGGAAATATCTGTGTTGAGTTACGCTTATGTTAAACTGGTGGCTGGAGTGCTCGCTGTCCCCTTCCGCCACTCAGCCTTCCCAGGCTGAGGTTTAACAAAGCCTTCCGTTCATGATCCGTTCTGGTCTGAGATGTTTTAAATATCTCTTAGAAATACAGTCTCTCTCTTTCCTATAGCTTAAACATTATGCTTTTTACTGAGCACTACTCCTGCTCTTCAGTATTGTTATTAGCATTAATGACAGTAATTTTCTGGAAGATCTTTGTGACTGAGAAATTCTGATAAAGTGATGATTCCGTTAAGATTGCTCAGCTCCTGTGAAATCCCATCAAGGGACAGATTTACAAGCAGCAAACAACATATGCTTGAGCATTATTAACCATTCATGTTTTGCCAGGCATATGTGTTAGTGTTTGCAGGATCAGGGCCTAGGTCTCTTATTAAAGAGGGCATATACATATAATATGCACAACTAAATTGAATGTCCCATTCAGCTGCTTTAGTTTTTCTAAATCACTTAACTGCAGCTGTGGCAGTTCTCATAGAAACTAGCCCTAAATTCCCACTCTCCCCTTAAAATCTAGAGCAAACGATGCAGAGCCAGCCAGACACCAGAGGTGGAGAGATTATTTTGCAGAGCATGTAGGCGTTTTTGTGACACAGATATAACAGAAGGTTTGTCAGAAACTGGTGCTAATAAATAGGCTTTAATTTTAGACAATGCTGCTGATGGAGTAATGAATTTCTGAAAACTCTAATTTCCACATAACTGCCAAATATTTGATATGGACTTCCTCTGTTATTTTTATTTATTTGTTTGCTTTTGCATAAATTCCCACCATGGTGTAAAGTGTGATCACTTTGTGTCTTGCAGGCAGATTTGTAAGGAATTCACAGACCTCCTCACTCAGGACAGAACTCCTCTTGGAAACACGAGACCTAGTCCCATCTTGGACCCTGGCATCCAGGGCTGTTTGACTCATTTTAGCCTGATCACACATGGCTTTGGGAGTGCTGCCATCTGCGCTGCCATGACATCCGTCCAGAACTACCTAAATGAAGCATTAAAAATAGCAGACAAAACATACATGAACGCTGGCGACCAGAGCCCTGCAGAAACCAACAAAACCATTGATAAAATGGATAAGCACAGGAAGTAAAAGGAGAGAAACCAGACTTTAAACTCTTCCTCCTAAACACAGACTGGGATCTTCTTGCCGGGGGGAACATAGAGATTTGGTTTTTTGTTTTGTTTTGTTTTTTTAAGAAAGGAGGGGAAAAAAGGAAAAAAAAAATCATCTTATTCAGGATCTTCACTCCCCCGGGATCCATGAGACAAGTCTTTCTAAAAGCTGCAGTATCCCTTATCTGTGGAAGCAATTGCCAGAAGATAAGTACTTGGTACAAGTGTATTGAAATCCTTTGCTGTAAAAGTGGTGCTATAAAGGTTTTTGATGGAAATATACAAAGAGATATATTTAGATTTCTTTTCCACATCTAAGTATCTAGGGGAGACCAGCTTCATGTATAGTTTTTAAGATACAGATTTTAGATGGAAGCCTATTTGTAATCTGATACAATTTCAGGGTTTTATTCTCTCTAAATGCAACAATAACAATAAAGCAGTATTAAACAATGGTATATAGATTTATGTACATTAAAATTTTTTATAAACACCCAAAAATAGTAAGATTATTCTGTGGGTTGTTTTTTGTTTTGTTTTATTTTGTTGGTTTTTTTCCTTTATTTTCAGATTATCATAGGAGAGTACTAAAATCCTGCTAGACTTAAAAGTTATCTGATGGCATTTGACATGCTTATTTTTATGGAAATATTGAGGCTTTTAAAAACTGCAGTAACGTTGGCTGCAGTGGATATTATCTTGATATTTTTTTAACAAGGAATAGTTCAAAATGAAAATGCTTTTAGAAAATTCACTTTCTCTGTCTAAGGATATTGCAGCTTTATTCACATATTTATATTGTCTTGTTTTTAAATTGGGGGGAAACTTGAAAGAATAGGCACATAACTTTTTTTTTAAACTTTTTTTTTTTTTTGCCTATTAAGGCCAAAAAATATTTCCAGGGAGGCTTTATGTGTATTAAGGGAAGCAGTGTGTTGAATGTAAATATTTATTTATGTGTAATTTAATCGGATTTGTAAATAATGGTGAACTTTTTAATACTTTTTTTTTATAAATGGGTTTCAAATTTTAATTTTGGTAAGTATTTCAAAGGTAATGGGTAAGCTAAACATATCTTTAGGTTTATGCACAGGTATGTTATACAGGGTATTTAAGACTTGGGTTTTTTTAAATATCTCAATTCTTGCCACTGAAGATTAAATCTAATCTGAGGTGTATGTTCACAAAGCAATAATTTTGTGCATCATTCACCTGATAACTGACTAGACATGCAAAATGAGTGTGTGAGTTAGTGTGTATGTGAATAATGGAGGTTCTGAACTATCTTTACATATTTGTAAATGTTCCCAATATAATTCTGATGTATATGATAACCATATAATAAAAGTATTCTGGATAGAAGCATGGAATGTTTTGTTAACTGAAAACAGTTTTGTTTTCTTTCTATACTTCGGGAATGTGGGGCGAGTAGCACTAGAGGACATTATGTATTGAGTCATAATTGCAGCACTTTGTTCGGATTAACAGAACAGAAATATGAAGCTGTTTGCCAGTAAAACTAATGGTTTCAATTAAACATGTTATGTATCTCCAAGAATCTTTTTGTTTCTTCCTAAGATGTCATTATCATGCTAACTGCCTATTTAAATAGGCAGCTTAAACACAAACTGCAAGACTTCCTCTAAATAAAAATCAATCCTACCAGCTTTGTCTTCTAGTGAATCTGACTTTATTAAAATAATCTGTCTCTAATGACAAATATTTGCAAAATCCTGGCGTGTGAAATTTGATAGGTCTCCCATCTGGTTTCAGCCCAATTTTACTGATTTGAGGAAGTTTACAGCATTTTGCAGAAAGCCCCCGAAGTACTCTGCGGTAGTGGTAAGGCAGGATCTGAGGCTTTCAGTGGCATTCAGTGTCCCAGATGCAAAATAACCAAACAAACCTTCCTGAGAAAAAAAAAAAAACCACTTTTTCGTTGCTTTCTAAAACGGGAACAACATGAACCTGGGCTTTATTCTGTCCTTGGCATTTCAACACCTGATCAATCCGTCAGGCATGTGGCTAGGGCAAACATTATGAATGATGACACTAGACATAACTGCGAGCAAGAATTTGGTTTACATCATGGCAGTGTGTTTCTTTCACAGATGTGAAGAGGCAATATGTACAATTTCTGAATACTTCATTTACAAGTTCTTTTTATGTTATTATTTTTCCTCTAAAGGGTAAAGGCAAACTACTGAAGGTGTGCAGGGAGAAGAGAGGAAAGGGAAGCTCAAAGAAATGAATGAACCTAATCAGTGGTGAGCTGGGAGAAAGCTGGTTTTTGAGTTGCCGTCCAGTCCCCTTCTCTCCTGAAGAGGTGTGAAATTCCAGTCTTTGCATTTGTTAGACTCATTCTAGCATTTGAGAAATAAGCATTTTGGACCATCTGTAGACACAAGCGCAGCCAGGACACGTGATGACTAATGAGACTTCTAAAATATACAAACAATATACCATTCTGATAACATTTTCATTGATTATACACACAGAAATATGCTAGGTATGGTAAGAGCTCATTTAAAGGATGTGATGCTAGAGTTCTGAGTTTTTCTTCTGCTTCTGCTGCTGAACTGCTTATACAGCATATATAGTAAGATATTTTAGCTACCAGACAATGGAATCTTGCTTTTTATTAATGCATAAAACCAGGCTCTGAAATAATTGCCCCTTGGGATAGGAAATAAGGATGTTTCCATTTATTCCTGCGTGCATTCAAGCAAAGCCAGTCAATTGTCTAATGTACTGACTCGGGTTCTATTTATATGTTTGGAACATTAGAATTGTTGAGTTTCCATTACCTTAATGCTTTTCCTCTACTGTATGTTTTAGATGGTACATTATTTTGAGACTCAACTACCTTATAAGCCGCGCCAGTAATATGAAACAAGAACAATGTCTTCTGCTCCATTCACTGAAGAGAACAGTTAAACTCTGATCTGAACGTGTCTGTCATCCAAAATTATTAATCTTAAGGAAAACATTAATAGGTTAGTAACTTCTTGGGAAATCTAGAAAGCACAGAGTTATCTGAACACACAGGAAGGTATTTGCTTTTTCCTGATCCTCAAAATTTCATGCTTTTTACTGCTTTTACATAGGCTATTCCCAGGCTGGCTGAAAGAAAAAGTTGTAATCTAAGACTCCTCTGAAGTTCCACTTTTCATTTTCTTTGAAAATGGGATATTCAAATGATTCTGTCCAATCTTGTCCCTTGCCCTTCTCCCAGAAAAATGAGTTTAAAATTACTTTAAACTATTAGGATTTAAAAGTAAATATCCTGAAGTTGAAATGGACCATTTTAAGTATTGCCCTTCTGCAAAACTGTAATTTGTTACACACCCACAAAATAGTTGAATTCATGTCACTCAGTATAAAAATGGCTTGTGGAAAAAGAAAATATTTAAACCATCTCTCACTTGGCCATCAGCAGCAACTGGGCATCAGAGGGTGTTGGAGTCTTCCCAGGCAGTGCTGGAGCCGCAGTAGGCAGCAACGCTGGTTCCTTCCACCTGCAGCAGCTCAGGGCATGGCCTTTGCAACCCTATCACCTGACAGGCAACCTGATTGTTACAGATTAATAATTGCAAACCTGATGATTATTCAAAGCCCCAGCTCATGAAATCATCTGACTTCACAGCAGTGTTGCTTTCAGTTTAAAAAGAATTTTTTGTTCACAGCTAGAGAGAAATAATGATGCAAAACTAGTAATATATAGGAAAACAAGGAAAAAGAATGAACTTCTGTCTTAATTTAGTAACTGATCTCAGTTAACTTCATTTTTGACTCTCAGTTTTTGCTTTACTCTTCACTTGTTTCACTGTTATTTACAAATGGTTCATCTCACCCTGTCTCTTTTGGCTGCAGCCCTACTGCTGTCTGTTCCTCTGCTCCCTCAGCCTTTTGCAATATGAATAAACCCAGCAATGCATCTTGAAATGGGTCTAACTTGCTGCGATAGCCTGCTGTGCTTATTTGTTGCAGCCCTTTCTTCTCTATTTTTTCCCACGTGCGATGTTTGTGTACATCCTTGTAGTTATTTTGGCCTAATGGTGTGCAGCTTCGGTCCTGGCAGTGGGCTTGGGCTGCCTTTTGGGACATGTTCTGAAATAAGAGCTTGATTTTTTTTTTTTTAAATAGGGTGCTGTTAACGTTTTGTCCCAAAAACTGTTACTTCACTAAAAGAACATTATGGGGTTAGGGACAAAGATGCTTCCTTCTCACTAAAAGAAATCTTCGAAGTATAACGTTTCTGTTCATTGATGTTTGCAAGTTTTTGTACGGGGAACCTGGAGCCAGTTTTGCCAAGCGCTCTGGGGTCCCTTGGGATTGTGACCCAAGGCCTGGTGGTGAGCCGCAGGAAACGCATACGGAACCATGCAAATAAGAATTTGTTCCCAAAGCCAGATACACCGTGTCTTTGCAAAATCTGTGTGTTATCCAAACCAGTTGTGGTCTGTCATAACATTTCTATGGTGCCTGGCTATTGCTGCTGCCTATTGCCTAGCGTCACGTTATCCATGTTGCTGCATGGATGACCATCTCTGTCAAAATTATACGGGGCCTACGCTGGAACCATATTTTTAACAAATCGTTAAATCCTGTTCTGTATCATTTGCTGCCTTCTCCTTTCATTTTCACTTTCATAGAATTATATAAGTAAGCTTTCTCCCAGTTTCAGATGCCATTTTGTATTCATCGGATGTTCTTGCATGTCTTACAAGGATGTTCCAGCTGGTTTCCATGGGCCGTTGTTGTGTAAGCGCTGGCCACAAATATTCCATTTTTCCTCTCTTTTGGCTAAACAGCCCTTCTTAACTGGTTCTTGTGAAGGCCTTGCGCACAGGCTACTACTATTCCATAACACATTCTCTGAATATTCCATTTGATTTGCAGTTTTACCCATAATTTAAAATTAAAAACATGTGATCATACAGACGTTTGCTCTCTCTGCCACAAAACTCAAAAACA